TTAAATAAAACTAGTTTATTCTTTCTCAATACAACTTTGCAATACACTCAATTTCCACAGTCACTTTAATAACTTAACAAACGCTATAATTCACTATAATTCACACCGAATGATTCACGCCTACTACCGTGCTTGACTCAGTTATCCGTTTCTATCTCTGTTTGTCTGCAATTCTATCCCGATTAATTGTCTGGCGCACTTATATACAAGAATAGAGGGCGTCTAGCAGATACTGGATTATTCGTGATGGTCCCCGATCTTTCTAGAACGCATTACGTGTTACCAGCGTCACGTGAATTCCGCTTTCGTAACAGTAAGCATTAAAACATTAAAAATACAGCTTACAACTATATCTGTTGTATGATGCAATTCTACTATTGAATAATGTCTATCATTCTATATGCATTGTTTAACATTTATGTTGTCAATTACTCTGGTACGAGTTTAGTATCCGACAAGTTATGTTTTGGAGAATTTCCTTCTTCTTCTTCTTTTTTTTTTTACCTTTCTTCAAATGGATCAATATTTGTGTTTTAAATGATACAATAAACTTTAAACAAATAGATTACTGTGAAAAGTTTAACTTTATCGGCTTAAAAAAAGTACGGGCGAATTTCAAAATGTTATCATGGAGATAACTGGATCCAACGTATTAAATAACACGTTAACTTTGAAAGTAAATAAATAAAAATGCTAAGTTTTTGTATAGATACAAACATGCTACCCAAAATAGAAATTAATACTAATTACTATAAAATAAAAGTAATGCAATGATAGCTATGTATCGTTAAGGAAGATTAATTCAAAATATTAACTTTTATTACAATCGTATTTCGATATTTGCGTGAACAAATGTATTGCCTTTTTATTTTCGTAATTTATGTTTCATATAGAATCTTATTCATGACGTTAGTCACGAGATTATACTTAAATTTTTAAAGAGAGATATTTAGAGAAGGACCTAATGAACGTTCTTTTGTACAGTTGTAATACTAATAATGACGGTTATATTCATTCGAACACTTTTTCTTGTTATTATTTTTCTTTCCGTCTTCGTAACATTGACCACATCTGTGAGTAGGACGATAAAGCTAATTAATATTTAGTATAGTAGTAAGTGTTATTAATATAAATAATAGTGTAAAAAAAGGGTATATTCTGTGTACACGAAATGATTTAAGGCAATAGCAGTATAGCCCAAGTAATAGTATAGTCCTAACGCTACTACAATTACAGCTTAATTCTTAATAGTATTACGTTAGAAGCTATATTTGAAATGTTAAAACTTATAAAATAAACTTAAAAGTTAAATCTGACTCAGTTCTTAGTCTGAGTGTTGTTTTTTTTACTTTTAGTTTTTACGAAGTTATATAGAAATTAGAAAATTGGTTTGGACATTAAAATTTAAATTCAAATTAATCTACCACTGTTCCATTAATACTATAACTTATAGTCATAAATTAACTTGAAAGACTGAGTGTAACACTAACATTCAGTGTAACTTACTGTAAGTTAACAATAACGCATAATGCATGTATGATCTACATTTTAATTTTCACTGTTTAATAAAATACCTATATTATTTGATAATATAACTATAATTATTAACATCCCGTGATTGGTTTCCTTATCGCTGTGGAAATACTTAACCAAATGTAATGTAATATGAGAAAAGCTTACTAATAAAATAGTTATTAGTATGTCTCAGTTTTTAAAGTTTTGAAGAGATATAATTTGATGTATATTTTCTATAATTTTTCACATCAATAAATTTTCAGAATTCTTTTGTGAGATCTGAGTCACTGTTAAAAAGATAATAATCAAAATACTTCCTTTTATCTTATAGCCCCCCAGTGGCAAATTCAGTGTGTTAAAACTCACATCTTTTAAAAAACAACGATTATTTTATACACAATTCTATAAAAATCAGATTGTTTCCAGTCTCCAAATTACTAAAATACAATAACTTACTGTACAGAATAAAAAGTGGTAAAAAAATCCGATGAGACTGGAAAACAATCTCGTACATTCTACATGTTAGGACGTATACTACTGCGTCATCCTCAGGAGGGTAATGTTTTGCTAAAATAACACTTATTTATACAATTATCAAATCACCAATTATTATTATTTTTATTGATATACAATTTATTATCTCAAAATTGTTGAAGAAGGACGAGGTAAATGTTGTCAATAGATGGTGTGAAATTCTCTAATATGTAAACTGGTGATTTGATAATTGTATAAATGTTATTTTTGCAAAACATTACACTCCTGAGGATGATGGAGTTGTATACATTGAAACATGTAGAGTGTATGAGATTGTTTTCCAGTCTCATCGTGTTTTTTACCACTTTTTAACCTTGTATGGGTATGGGGGCATGCCCTCTCAGAAAAGATTTGAAGATTTAATGCTATGATACTGAATCTGAGCTATTTTAACAACAAATACTGCATACACACAATGTAATGTATTGAATTAAAGGAAGCAAGTTGTAATACACATGTTGGAATTATACATGCCACGATCCTGTAATAAGCTGAAAATGTTACTAGTATTTTGAGGGTTTCTCTCTCAAGAAACTTTCACAAGATTACTTAAACTACTGAATTTTATTTGCTGAAAATAAACATTTTTTACATGACATTGATTATATTACAAATCAGTAAAATGTGACATTTTCAGGTTTTTATTTGATGTTACCCTTGTACATTCCATTTAAAAAATATTATTAGTATGATATCACCAGTTAATCAATAAGGCTAAGAAAAGAGCATGGGATTATTATGAAAAACTGGAATATTTATTACTAACTAAGCTAATACAATAAAATCTTTAACCATGGCCCAGATTTATCTTGTAATAAATAAAACTAAGTATAAAAAAATAAAAATAAACTAGTACAGAAAAAGTTGTTTATACCATTGGAAGTTCAGAAAGAACACATTAAATCGGTTTATACCTGTTTATTTTACACTACAGGCTAGAAGAAGCAGTAGAACCATTTGTATGCTGGAAACTCAGTAAATCAAGCAATGAAAACACTTTCATTTTCACTACTGTTTATCTAGTTAGAGCTGGTCTTAATTAAACAAAAGTCATGTTCATATAAACAGGTTAACAATTGTGTTGTTGCATATTGGTCTTGTTAGTCCATATCTAGTAATTTCTGACAGAGTTTAATATGTTATTCAGCAATCAACTTTTATTTTGAGCCTATAAAGAATTGTGAATATTAACTTGCTGCAACTTGTTTTTTATATTAAGGCAGTCAATTTTATGATAGTAACCATGGTTATGCTTGTAATATTTACAGTATATTGGAATTTTACAATAGTGCTTGAACATATTTTCTCACAAAATTTTATGTTTAGCATGCAAGTGTATGACGAGTGCAGTTTCATTATTGTTTGCAAGAAATCTACAACAAAACAGAAAAAGGCATAAATCTAATTCAGCATTTTAATAATTTATTCTATCCTTTTTACACAAAATATTACCACTCATGTATGACTAACTGAACGCATAGGAATGAAATCATTAGATGAGTCACGACACTGATCAATTTGAGTAATTTTGAATTAATCTAAAATAATAATGAAAATTCATAATTGCAATATTTGGATTATGTGGTTAGTTGAAATAATAATTAGAAACATTAATTTTGATTAGCTGATTATTTTCATGACACTAATTGATATGATCAATGCTCTTAGGTAATTGATTATACATGTTATGGCAAAATAATGGTGTTTGGTCATGTTGTCTTATTATATGTATTATGCAATCCACACACATTAATTAGTAAAATGATGACTGGAGCTTTGTAAACTAAGTCGTGTTTTAAATAGTTTCTTTAATGTAAAACAGTAGTAGTGCCAACATAGATGTCATCATGTTGTAAAGGTGCTGTATTAATTTGACTCTTTGTTTTGTATCTTTATGTATGCTGAATTAATATAAAATACAGTGAATTCCTATATGCCTAAAGGAGTGGAAGGTTATAAAACTTAAAAAAATGCTTTCTACCAAAGAGCAGTGTTGTAGGAACAGTTGTGAGGTTTTGTGTAAAATTAATGGTCATCCTGTTTCCTAGTAGATAACACCATATGGTGAGGCCATATGAAATATTGAAATTTCTTTTGTGAGTGAGTGTGGAAGTATTTTTGAGGGAAATGTTATGTTTTTCTGCTAAATTTTTGCAAATTCTTAATGTTCCTACAGTCCTGCTACACACAATTTGTTTGCAAAATTGACAGCATTAATCTGTTGTCCAAATGTCACATAAAATAAACATTTGCTTACAGAGTCTGTACAGTGATGTGCGGTGTAAGTGCATATGCCCAAGTACTGAAGTTGTCAATGGAAGTAAAACTGAAAGAAAGTTGTACATAGCTAACGTACTTCCTAAAGACTGGTAAGTACTTTTCAGATAATTCATGTTCTCCCACTGTGGAAAGTTTTGTTGTCTAAACCGTACTTCATTTTATGTCGTTTTTCTGTATTGTTTTCCCCTTATATGTGTTCATATGGCTTGTGAAAAATATGGGAACTGAATGTTAGCAGTCACTAAAACGTTTTAGATGAATACTGTATTTACCAAGTTAGCATAATGGTACTGAAATATTAAAGAAATTTTAAGCTTAGAGTTACATTACATTGCAGTAAGCCTTCAGACAGGGCTTAGGATATTGCCTAGGCTAAAACTGTAAAGGTTTATTGTGGAAAATGAGGCTTAATTCAATGGGCATGGATGGGGGCCCAAAGTACTCGTGTAATGACTTTTACAGTGTTACATCAAAAAGTGTACTTAAATAAGTTTATTTTCAATGTATGTCAATAAAATTGGCTTCAAAATGCAGTTTATAATTCAGATATCAATATTATACAAATTTCGATTTCATAATTTAAAATGAAAATATTAATTTTCATTCAATCTTCATTTACATGTGTCATTTGATGCCTTTCTGCTCAGAATTCTTCCATCTTTTAGTGTAGGGGTGTATCTCACAATGTCATGACTTCTAGCATTTGGAACATTGATGATAGTTTACTCCACATCAGTGTGCTCAAATTTCTCTTTCACTGTTCCTCTGGCATATTCCTGTTTCCTAACCTTTTTGATGTATCACTTGGACTCTGACAATTTCATAGTTCTTTTTTTACATCAACCATCTAGGGGGCACCCATTCTAGGACTCCTTTTGCTTTTGGGTAATGGACCTCCCCCTCTTCTGGGCTCATTTCCATTGAATCAGTCTTGTTGTTTGTTATGTGCCAGGAGCTATGAACCTTGGCTGGACCTCATTCTACCCTTAGAGTGATCTCTTACCCACAGACCTTTTGTTGAGTTTGCTCTCACAGATTTCTTTGCTACTCCTCTCAACTCTAAGCTTCCTCTCTTCTGTTCTTCAGATCCTCATTCTTTGGTTCTGGTTGTCAATGCTTTCAGCCAGGACTGGTTTTACTTTTTTCCTATATGCCTATCCTCCTCTCTGAATTCTCCCTTTGGTCCTCATCTTGATACTTGACACTTCTTGTTGAGTCTTACTGGTAGTGGCTTTTGGCTAGCTCAATTATGGTTTCCTTTGCATCTTCATTAGCATCCAGAATCCCTCTATCTCTGCTCAGTGTCCCCTTCTATTGCTGAAACCTCATATGTTCTTTATTTTTTTCTTCTTCCAGTGATATTGTTCCTCTTCCTTCATGTGTGGAATTTCTGGTCAATTGCCCTTTGGGCTAGACTTTCTAATCACGTAGTCTTCTTTTTGTCCCATTCCTATCAATGATCTCCCACTTTATTTGTCTATCAACAAATATGGCAAGTTTTTCATCATTGATACATCTAACACTTCTTCCCTCCTATCCATCCTACTGTGAATCACCTTGCTGCCTTTTTTTTACTTGTCCATTTGGCCATGACTTCTTGGTCTTCAACATTGCTGGTTATCAGGCAGGTTTGTACACTGCATTTCACCTTTCCTGGTATCACAAAACGTTTTCTTCCCCTGTCCTCTCCACTTTATTCTGCTCACCCTTTTTCATTGTCCTCCTTGCCTGACTCCCATACATGCCTGGGATATTAATGTGGTTTTGCATGTATTCAAGCAATTGGCTTCTTGCTCTTTGTACCACTTTTCACTCAATACTTTTTTCCCTTTTCTTCTTGCCTGTGGTTGCTGTCATTTAAATGTCTATGCTATGGATGCTTCTCACACCCTCTTCCACCACATTTATGTACACCTCTACCCAAATAAGTCTTTCTTTCGTAATACTTATGTGGCACTTTGGGAAGTAACTGTACTTTATCTCCCATCCTTCTGTCTCTCACCTGTATGATTGTTCTCACCCAAATTGGCTCCTATGTCCTGTTTGGGCTGTTCAGTGTTACTTGTCATAGATTTCTCCCTTCATGGGTCCCTGCCATCATCTGTTCCTACCCTGAGACCCCTCTTTTTCCAAGAACTTATTTTTTCTACCCTTATTGATTTGGTCCGTCAACTTCTCTAGTTGGTATATTCTTCCCTGGATATGGATGCATGCAGGCTTTTTCACATCACTTTGAATCTGATTTGTCACCTGTCGGACTCTTGCTAACCATCTTCACCAGCTCTTAGACAAAATCCTCCATGTAAGTCTCTCCACATGTTTGTTGCTTATTATCTTCATCATATGGCTGTTTCATCTCCTGCAGAACTTATACTTTCCCCAATCACCATTCATCATTCAACCTACAGACTCTGAGATGAGTAAATATGTTTTCTTATACCCTGTCTTTACCTTCTCTCGAACAGGATTCCACCTGGTGGCTAATGTTGTTCACAGGGGTATGCTTTTTTCCCAAAATCCACATTGGGCCAATGGTAATGGAAAGTGCTCAAATTCACCCTGGCTCTACCAGTGCACACTGTGAGATGGGGTGTTCTGCAAGACCACTAGTGGTATCCTTATGGTGAATAGATTTAATAAGTTTTCTGATTCAAACCATACCAACTCAATGGTCTATCATGGAAGAAGCTGGCACCAGGGAAGTGACAACCCATTTCTTTGTCTCACATTTGTCTGCTTTTAAAAATAGGGTATCTCGTTGTCTACAGTAAAAGACCTATCTGACTGGTGGTCCACTGGTGATTCTAGCACTCCTCCAGGTGTCATCAAAGCAAATCCTCCTCTCTTTTCTTCAGTAGAAGTACAGGAGACCCTTGCCACTAACCATTTTCTAGCTGCCAGGCTGGTGAACCATGGAGAGTTGTCATTGGTTGGTCTGTGCTTAACAGTCGGAAGTAGGGTGGTGGTGACACTGTCAGTGCAATATGGGTCATCCCTCACACAGCTAATGTGCTTCCTCTTGCATTCAATCTGTTTAATAGAGTTGAGGTGAGCACCCACTGTATAGTCTGATTGCACCCGAACCTTGCTACACATATTGCCCTGCTCGGTTGGTCATGATCACATTCTGCACATCCCTGAGACACTTCAGGCTCTTTCTTCTTTCCCTCGTTTTCCTTCTGGGCAAAGAGTATATTATATCCTGCTCCTATGGATCCCCTCCCATTTGGTGACACACTCTATGGGCTTTTCCTTTAGGCACTTTCCAAAGGGATTTCATCTAGGTTTATTTTTTGCACTGGTCCCTCCACCAATTAAGCATGGGTTTCTAGCACTTGTGTATAAAGAGGTGAGTTATCTCAGAAGTTAACATTTTCCTAATCTGAAAATGTATTTCAAATAGATGCCTCCATACATATTCCTACCCATTCTCCCAACTTCCATTGCACCTTTTTTCTTGTCTTGTCTAAGAATGAAGTTGTCACAAGTGTAAGTGCACCAGTGTAGTTTCTGTTAAACATGTGAATTTAGATGGGAGATAGCTCAAGACTATTGGCATGCAAATCTCATGGGCAGACACACAAGGGAAATAGCATTTATGTGTAAAGAGGTGAATATTTATCAGATTAGGAAAATGTTCATTTCTGTTGCAATCTGCAGTCATTCTGTAAAGAAAAAAAAGGGGGTGGTAATTTAAATTTATTTGTATTTTTTTGTTTGCTTGTTTTTTCGAGTGGTTAAAAGCTTGGTCAAATGGACTAAGCCCATATAGTATTAGGTGAGAGAGAATAAATAAAATAAAAATTTTTACTGAAAAATAAACTTTTGCTATTCATTTAGATTCTGTAAGATTAAAATAGTATTTCTTATTCTTAACATGAAAATAACCTTACACTTAGACTACTCAATGTCTGAGTCAGACTCACTAAAATTAATTCATAGACAAATCTTATGAGAAATTCTAATTTTTTTATGTACAACATAGTTATCATGTTTACTAAAAAATTTTTAGGCTTAGTCTAATGGACTGACCCCATGCATGTAGGGTTAAGTGAAGTAACAGATAGATCATGTTGTAGCATATAACCATTGTAAAGCTTTTTTTTTATTGCTATATGTTTAGGATCACATACAGTACCTCTAACAAAAAAAAACTACTAATTTGAACAGGAAAATTATTATCTTCCAGTAACTACAAAGTTAATAAAATATTGTTAATGAGCTGTCTCAACTGAATCTAATATTATTAGTGATTGTGTTATTATGCAACAATAATTAATGTAGATTTCAAAAGATCCAGTAACTTGAGCACATCCAAATAGTTGATTATTTTTCTTCTGGAGGAAGAATAATAGTCAGCTATTTGAAAGAGCTCAAACTTGTGGGTCTTTTGAAATTTACTTGAATGTTTGTTGGGATCCTTTGTTCTAATCTTTCATCATGGTTGATATTTTACAACAAGAATTAATTACAGATATGTCAGTAGACTTTGTACTTATTTTTAATCATGTTATATTTTGTTGTGTAATTACGTATAACTGACTGTATGCCATATCTTGTATGTATTCTATGTTCTAACTTACTCTGTTTTGTTCTACACTGTATGATACGTACTTAAATCTACTTTAAGTCACATATTTAGCTTTATTTTATGCATGAACAGTACTCTGCCTATTTTATAATTATATTTTTTAATTCTTTATTAAGAACATTGGTTAGCTAATAATGCTACTGTTTGTAGTGTGTACCATTAAAAATGTATATTCTTTTTCCAGCACATGATATAAAAAAAAGGCTAAGCTTAGGTCTAAACACATGTAGCTTTAACTTCCAGATACAAACAGTCAGTAAGATATTGGCTAATTTTGCAAACTAAAATGTAATTTGTGTTCTAATTTATTATCACGTAGCACCTGTTATGGAGTTGTTCTACCACAGGCAGCTGAAGATATCAGAAGCAAAGACAAAGAATTCTGTCCTCGCTGTGATTGTCGATATGAAAGGAGAAATACTACAACTATCAGAGTAAGTGGCAGAACTACACAGTTAAATGTAAGATCATCAGTGTGTATTTGTGTAAGCCCTATACAAATGGAACTCTACACATATGAATACTGTCAATCTAGGTCCAGTTCACTGTCATAATGTGTATGTGTGTGTGTGTGTGTGTATATATATATATATATATATATACACATATACACACACACACACACACACACACACACAAGTACCAGCACTATTAATCTCCTCCATCCCTATATTTTTTTCAAAACTCTCGAGATTTCAGGATGCCATGTTTAACTTTGTATGTGACTCTATCCAGCTAACCCCTGCTACAGTTCTGAAGCTAGCAGAACCAAATTTGGCAGGTGACCTAGTGGGATGTTTTATTTTTTCTCTCCTTGTGGATCATTTGGAATGATCTGCTTGAACAACTTCACAATTGTGTCTCGTATCAACCACCAAGAAACATCCATTCCAGGACCATCTGCTTTCAGACTTTGGACCTCCTTTCTTGGACCCATTTCATAGCCTATCATGTTCTAGGTGCACTGAATGTCACCACAGACTGTCTTTTTTGTCGAGGCTATCTTACCCATCGAATGGTCCTTCCATTTTCAAATATTCCATTGTGTTTTTCCCAACTCGGAACCTCCATCATAGATGTGTTTGCCATGCCCCTCAACACCAAACTTTCTCTCTTTTGGTCTCCTGTACCTCACCCATTGGCCCTAGATGTTAATGACCTCACTCAGGTTTAGTCCCATTTTTTCTTTTATGCCCATCCTTCTCTTCAGCTCCTTCCCTTGGTCTTTACTCTAATTCAAGTCACCCTTGCAAAATTCTGTTGGTAACCCCTTACTGACCTACCCAACCTTGATTTATATTACTCTATCTTCTCTCAACCAACTTTCTTTCCATTCTAGTCTAACTGCACAATGAAGGAATGACATCCCTTCATCTTGATATGTGGAATTTCTCCAGATCATTGCTTTTCGAGCTGGACTATCTGATTGTGTAGCTTTCTTTCTGTCCCACTCTTGTTGCCCTTTCACCTCTTCTTTGAACCAATGTAAATGGTGTGCTTATCACTGTTGTTTTATGCTCTTTGACAATGGCTTGTTTGGCTTTACCATTTCTGTTATTGGGCAGTGCTATCTACCACACTCCACCTTTCTCAATACTACAGAATCTTTTCTTTGCCTGTCCTCTTCAGTTCCTTCCTAATCCACAGGACTCTCCCCCCCCCCCCATGTCATTTTACTCCCTTGTCTGATTGGGACTTTAAAGTGATTTTTCATGCTCACACATGGGAACCTTTTGCCACTTACTACCCTGTATCACCTTTCTCTCTCAGAAACTTTTTTCCTTCTTCTCTTTGTCTGTGGTCACTGTCATTCTGATGTCTATGCTATAGATTCTTTCCAAACATTCAACTACTGCACTTACCATCTTTGCTCCAATTGGTCCTTCATTCCAAAGTCTTCTACTGCTATTGAAGGTGGGTACACCTTTCTCTTGTATTAATTTCTTCTTTATCCCATATCTGTCATTGTTCTTACCTAGAGACTTCTGTGTCCTGTACAGGCCATTCATTGTTATCTATCTTGCTATTTGTCATTTTGGGGTTCCCATCACTATCTTTTCATTCATTAGGATCCCCTCCTTTACTAGAAGCCTCTTTTCCTTCACCCTTACTGGATGGATTTGGTTTTCTTCTTATTGGAGGTGGATGATCATCAACTCTTGAGTTTCCTCTCACCAGCTGTGACACCTTACACATAGATTGCAGCCCATTTTCATGGCATGTGGAGTACTTCACAAACCTTTGTCAACCAGTATCTGCACCACCTGGCTGTCTTGTCTCCAGAGGGATTTAGACTTCTGTTCATAGTCACCTTTCAATCCACCTTTCAACTTTCAACAAATAAGTGTATTTATATATTTCTTCTTAACAACTTACTTACTGTAGTATCTCGCTAGGTGGTTAGTTTTCATTCTAGGATATACTTACCTCAAATCCTCTCATACCATCCACTCTGATCCTACATGTGCCCACTGTGAGATGGGGTGTTCTGCAAGACCACTTGAGGTTTCCTCATGATGTTTCATTATGTATCTATATTGCATTTCATGTCCGATCCAAACTATATCCATTCCATGGACTATCATGGAAAAAGCCAGCATCAGGCTTATGTACCTGCCCACTTCTCTGGTTAGTGCTGCCAGTTTTTAAAAATAGGGTTTTGCAGTCACTCATTGCACTGTCTCCGGTAAAAGACCTTTCTGTACTGAAGGACCAACGGTGATATGGATGCATTCTAGAGGTCTCCACCCCTCTCATTAAGAGGAGCATGGAAGACCCACTTGCCACCATGGAGAATCCTCACTGATTGAAATATAACCACTGAAGCTAGAACAATGAATCCCTCTATGATGAGAAGTAAGAGATAGGGTGACACCAGAGTGTAGTGTGTGTCACCTCACATATATAACTGGGATACATCACAATTTTGAAGTGGACCAATATTACAAATCACTGTATTGGTCCTTTATCTATGATTATCTTGCCAATTCTCCTCCTGAAGCCAAAATCTGTTTAGTAAAGTCGAGGCACACACTATTTCTGCTTCATTCTTCATCATATTGCAAAAGAAAAACCCACTCCCACATCTGGTGTGCACCCTGTAGAAGACTGTCAAGTGAAGGTATATTTAATATGATATCCTTCTTCCCAGCTGGCATGGGGCTCAGAAAGACTAATGATAGAGTTGAAAAGACCACACTGTATACACCCGTGATGTATCAGTCACACACCCTACTCCTGCAGCAGGCAAGGGGCCTGTAGTGACTGATGGTCAAGTAGAGGTTACATAAGTATCTATGCTAACATGATTTTATACAATGTACTTCTCCTGCAGCTAGTATTTAGCCCGTAGTGACTGACAGTAGAGAAAGTGTGCATGGATATTTATCGTGAGTGCCCTTCTCCCACAGCTGGTTTTGACCCATTAAGTCTGATGGTAGAGGAGGTGAGCACACAAGGTACGGTCTCAGTGAGCCCTACATTTATGGATTTTCTGCCTCTTCTTGTCTTATACATAGGTGAAAAGAATACCCTGTATAAGACGAGATGCAGTCTCCCATGGGTGTGCCCCTGCCATTGGATGTCACACCCATCATACACTAATTATAGAGATTGTTTTGCCTTATTAGCTTAACATATATCTTTATGCCTATATTAAATCTCCTAAGTTGGTCAAGCTTTGAGATATTATTGGGATTATAGTGAAAAATATTGTTAATAGTAAATGTACCTAACTGATAAAACATTTTGTTCTAATATTCATAAGTAACAATGTAGTAAAAGTTAATTTAATTAGCTGTATGTATTACTAGGCTGATTTTTAGGTTTAAAATTTTTTGTATATCTAGGGATTGTTTTCTGTATCTTTAATTATGTATATAAATTTTCTAAGAATGATGACCCAGAAACTGTGGACACCCTTGGAACTACTTCCTTCACTTTTGTTTATATTCAGTTTGATGGCCATGATTATGCACTATTACCCAGCAGTAACTGCTATTTCTTACAGGCTCTGTGAAAAACAATAAGATCAATCTTAGACAACACATATTGACAAACTTTCCAACTCTTCACTATGTATTAGTTGGCTTCCTAGACCTTGTGTATGAGCGCACCAGAGGCATTGGAGTTGCTTTGGGGTCTAGACAGATTTTGGTTTTCAGACATAACTTAAAGTTTTTGCATTTTAACTAGCTTCAAATCATTTTTCATTATCTTTGGTTAATGGTACTAGGAAATATCAGCTTCTAGGCAATGGTTCTTTGGGTCAGACTTTTCTTTCATTACTGTTGCCTTTGTTCTGTGGATAAGGATATTACTTCTCTATCTGGTTTGGTTGCTGTTACAGAGTCTAAGTGGTCTGAATTACCTTTTTAGTTCTAGGTTGAACACTGAAGGCTTCTTTTTTAGTCATATAGTATATGCTTTACAAATGTTCTTCAGACAGGGCAGATTTTTTTAGAGATCCTTAAATTCAAGAATTTAAATATTTGAAAAAAGGTGATTGCAAGTGCTTGAATTTTGATCTTTGGGTATTTTTTGATGTTTTTGTAAATTTTTCATTTCTGTTCTAAAAGTAAAAATTATATAAGCTCTCATAAACCAAAGATTTCGTTTCAAAGTATTATTATTGGAGCTGTACATATGACCTACAATTGACCGTGTTACAAATGGCATTATGTCAACATACTTAACATGATCAAAACTATTTCTAATGTATATCCATTGTATGATGTCATGTAATATAATAATGAAACATTTTAGTATGTTTTGCAATAATTATGCTGTATATTTTAATGAAACCAAGTGTAGAACTCAATTTTTGTAACTCACTCAACACTTCACTAGGCACTGTTATGCATAATGCCTCATTGGGATGGATAGTGATGGAAGATGTGTACATTGTTCTGTATGTTAACTTTCAGTTATAAATTTCACCATGACTAATTATAGCCTGAAAATTCAGAGTAATGTAACTATTTTATGAATCAAAAGACTGTGTGCATTGGAAGTTAGAAGTTTTCCAGGCAAACAGTAGGTATACATAATCAGGTATATAAGTGGTTGTCTGTAGGAAAGCAATATTTCATGATTCAAATTGGTGAAACTAGCTCTACATGGGTTATCGGCTTGTAGAGTTAGTGGAAGCTTTAAATGATATCCTGTTATTTCTAAGCAGCAATGTTTCTGTAGCATTTCAGTAATTTAAAAACCAGTAAAAAAATGCGAAATAATAAAATGAATAAATAAATAACAGAAAATAATTACTCATACAAAGTAACACAACTGAAGACAATCAGCATGGATTTAAACCTGATAAAACTAGCACACCACACAGCTGTGTTTATCTTTGAAGCTAAAAAAAAAATACTGAATAATATAGAATGAAATAATGTCAGTACTCTAACATGTGAAATACAATAGGCTGCATATTACATCTACATTATAATTTTTAGTTGTATATCAAATGTAACACTCACTATATTTAAAAAAATGAAATTTCACAGAATCAAATTGACTATATATATGTTCACCCATGTACTTGTGTGTGTGTTTGTGTACGTTTAGTATTAATAAAGTGTGTGTGTGTGTGTATATATATATATATATATATATATATATATAT